GATGCTGCTTGGCCTGCTGTGTTCATCCAGCCCTGCACCTTGTTGTCTCGGATTCTCCAGCATCTGCAGTTCCTACTATCTCTCTCAAGTTCAGTGTGTGATGTCTTTGTAGTCGGTATGATAGTCTCATTTGCACCATTACAAAAACTGCATAATTTAAGGAATAAACTACCACCAATCTCTCAGGGAGATAAGGCTTGAGCATTAACTACAACCTCATAAGTGTTGGCCTCATCCTGAGAGCAAATTGAAAAAGCAAAGAGAGAAAAAATTGTTTTTACCTATCACCTTTCGTGGTCTCAGGACATCCCAAAGTGTTTTATGATCAGTTAAATATTTTTGTTGCATAGTCACCGTTGCATTGAGGAAACAAAGCAACAAATTTGTACATAACAAGGATGCACAAAACAGCAATGTTGATAAGCCAAAAAATTTAATCTAAATTATAATTTTTCTAATGTAATTTGAGATGCAGTTTACACTGTCCATTTTCATTGTGCATCTGCCCCAAGGAAACAACGTTATTTTAAGTTCTTGTTAAGGATAATACTTCACCACACTTAATGTCGAACTGCAGTGCTGTCTTAGATGATGAGCTAATGTCTTGCAGTGGTGCTTTGAATCCAAACCCACTGCCTGAATTATAAGCAATAGTGTTACGAGCTAAGGAAATTAGCACTAACCAAGCTTATACCAGTAAGAAGCTTGCAGCTATATGACACTTCAAGCATCTCACTGCTAGGCATCAATAATGAGACAGTTGTTTATTATTAACTGGAAGTATCATTGAAAATCCCACCAGACTCCTCCATATCATAATGCATTTCCCTAATGCTTTATAATTGCTCTAAAGTGCTGTAATGCAAACTTAGCAGTTGTGACTCGTTTGATGCAGTGGTAGTGTCTCCATTTCTGGGCTAGAATATCTTGGTTCATGTCCCATTGGCTCAAAGCTGTGTCATAACACGCCCAACCAGGATGATTAATTTTTCTTTGAAAGCTCAGCCGCTCTGGGATCCTCACTCACAGAATGTAACCCCCATTGTCATAGTTACAGTAGTCATGAGGATTGATCATTGCATAAATACACTGAAGGAGATTTGTATATCATTGCAGGTGCATTTTAAATGCTGTGTATTGATTTTCCAGAGATTCTGACAACCTAATTAGCATCTCTATGATCTGTACTACTTCTCCAATTCCTCCACAGTTAAATCACAAGGACACAATTTTCAGGAATTGGACAAGGTGATAGAACAAATCAAACCAACCCTTTGTTGTTGCAAGTTTCAGTTGTTAGGTCAATAGTTATTACCTATCCTTAACTGACATTGAGAGAGTAGTCGTGCGCTGCCTTTTTCACTTGTTGCAGTCAATGTATTATACGTACTTCTAGTGCTGTTAGGAAGGGAGCTCCAGGATTGGAACATTGACATAGTTGCAAGTTGGGATGATGTGTGGCTTGAAGAGGAGCTTCCAGTCAGTGGCTATTTGGATTGAAGTGCAGTCATTTACAAATGTCTTTTCAAATCTGTTGCAGTCATGTGACCACTATCATAAGGACACATGCTGTCGGCAGACATTTTAAGTTCTCTTCAATAAAGACTTGTGTTAAACACACTGTTGCATGGTACACTCAAAACAGTAATGCTTCCAAGCATCTGCTGTTCTTGCCTTTCTAGATGTCAGAGGTCATGGGTTTGGGAGATGATGTCAAAGGAATGCTAGTGAGTTACTGCAGTACATCATGTAGGTGGCTTCTTGAGTGTTGTTGAAGCTGTGCTCGTTCAGGCAAGTGGACAGCATTCCAACATGTTCTTGGTTTGTGACTTGCAGATGCTGGACAGGCTTTGGGTAGTCATGAGGTGAAATACAGTACTCTGCACAGATTTCCTAGCCTTGGATCTGCTCTTGTAGCCATAGTTCCTTTTTACTCGGCCACCTTTCTTACCATACTCTTCAATTAATGTGTCAGACATGGTTCACAGGCAACACACTCAGCTTAGAGTCAGATAGTTGTGGGTGCTAGAAACTTCAATACATAAGCCAGCTTGAGCGCTCTGTGTCTGAGTGAGTGCCATGCTGTAAGAGGTGTCATTTTCAGTTGAAACATTAAAAGAAGGATCCCCCTACCTTCTCAGGTTGGCAATAATAGATGATGGCATCTGTTTACTTTCAACAATATTAAAGTTGTGGACCACCAAATGACTGATTGTAATCCTATGGACTCACTGACTGCCATAATTAACAACACTGTGAATATAACTACACCACATGAAAGGCAGAAATTCAAGAATTTGTCTCATCATCACCTCTTAAATGCAATTAAGGATGAGTAACAAATACTGGCTTCGTCACTGATGCCCACAACCTGCAAAAAGGGAAAAAAAGGCTTACATCTGGCTTTGTATCATCAAAGACTTATCAATCCATTTTTGGAAGTTTGATGAAGTGAATGTGAAGCCATGTGTGAGGATCATAATCTCCAGCTTAGGCAACAAGAAGATTTTAATTGCACACTTGTTGACAATGCTATTGTCTGTTTAGATACCATGGAGCAAGAATAAACACCTGAATCTTATTGTGGCACAGGCCACAAGATGGAAACAAGAAGGAATGTCTTCTCTCAGAGAGTTGATAATCTTCCATTTAGAGAGCAGTAGAGTTTGGGTCATTGACTTGCTCCTGGTTCTTATGTTCTGATGTCTCTGTGTACCAGAGATGTTGACCAGAGAGAATAGGTAAGGGAGACTTCACAACTGTGATATCCCCTTTAAATCAATAGCTACAGGATCTTATTTTCTTTGATGTTTCAATTTCATGGATTGAGGCAATATGACAACATGACAGAAGAACTGCCTGGAATTCAATGAGTCATGATATTTGCAATAACATAATACTGTATGTTACAATATTTCAAAGTGCTTCACACCATGAATTTCTATGAAGTGCAATAATGGTAGTCATACATACAGTCAGTCTTTGCAACACCATCCTACAAGTAACAGAGAGATGAATGATAGTTAGAATTTATTGTATTGGAGTGGGATCAATGAAGTAGGAGGGAGAAAACGGGCATTTTTTACAGGTCACCTGGAGATCTCATTCAGTACCATTATGTACAATAATACCTAAATTGAGAGGCCTTGGGTTTGGGAGGTGATGTCAAAGGAATGCTAGTGAATAGACCTTGGTATTAGCTCCAAACTGAAGTGATCCATAACAAAGCAAACAAATGACCTGCCTTGAACATTTACAAAGATCTCACACTGATTAGATCAGCATGGACCATTGGAAGAACAATGGGAGGCAGTAACTTCATCATCCACAGACAACAAGTGGCTTGATTGGAACACGTGACAGATTGCACTATTTTGTAATGTCTCATTTTCAAATGCCTTGCTATCTTATTTCTGGAATATGTGTTCTTCCACTGGTGAGTGATTATAGCAGGGAAGAATGATTTCCTCAGATTTGTTTTTACTAAATGCTCAAAATGTGGAATTGACTTTTTTATATATACTGAATGTTTCTTTTCCTTTATCCTTTAGGCCATCTAACTGTCATCTGAGAACAAAAGAAAAATGAGTTCATCAAATGTTACCACTACTGTAAATCCATCTGTCACTAATACCACACAAATAAGCACTACTGGAAGTGGAGGCTTCATTTCCAATTTAATTAATAAAATTCCATGTAAGTACATAAACGTGACATAGTAAATTTATATTCGAAGAACCACAATCATGAAAATGATTTCCTTCGATTGTAAACAGAGACAAAATGAGTACAAACATTTGACTAATTGGAATAAAAACCAAAAGAACTGCGGATGCTGTAGATCAGGAACAAAAACAAAGTTGCTGGAAAAGCTCAGCTGGTCTGGCAGCATCTGTGAAGGAGAAAACAGAGTTAACGTTTCGGGTCCGGTAACCCTTCCTTCGAACTTCTGAGGAAGGGTCACCGGACCCAAAATGTTAACTCTGTTTTCTCCTCCACAGATGCTGCCAGACCTGCTGAGCTTTTCCAGCAACTTTGTTTTTGTTGCAGTTGACTAATTGGTCCTCTTCAAATACAGGAATACAAGTGCTGTCAATATTTTCTAACCAACCTGTTCCAAGATGTTATTACATACCTCTTGAGGAGGTGGGACTCCTAGTCTAGCATTAGGGATACTACCAATGCACCGCAAATGCACTTTTAACAAGTGCTGTCCAACTTCATGTTCATTCAGTACAGGTGCAATCAGTCTGGCACAGATGAGTGACAGTCAATGAGCAGATAAATTATAAAGAACGCAGTGAAATCAACTTTGATTTGTTTCACCATGTTCAGCCTGCTACTCAGATTTGTGGCTATTTCTCTCAAAAGCCAGTATTACAATTGAGGCTGGAGCAGGATATCAGTGCAATATTCCATGAGTCCCAGAAGAAAATAAGAATACTTCTTCAAGTTACCAAGATGTCTAAATAAATATGTCTTTGTCGGTTTTAAACAAACTTGGTTTCTTATTGATCATAAAATGTGTCATCTACAGTAAACACCTTGCTCTTTAATTTCCCTACTAATGAAAAGTTTGAATTGGCTGATGCTGCTGAACAAAACCATTAGTTATGTCTTTAAGTGAATGAATTAGCATCTAACCACCAATGAAATGCATGAACATAAACCTTTCGTGTTATTATTGCTGTTAATTTTAGTGGACTGCTGGGAGCTATGATCAAATGTTGAGTTAAAGGAGATAATTTTAACTTAACCTATCCATTCTGAAACATGATGAGATTAGGTGAAATACATTTTACCCGAACTTACTTAAAACCAATGCAGAGTGATATAGGGTGGGCACTGCATCCGAACCCACAGGATGGGGGTGGGGCCAAAGTAAAAATTAACGCCAAGGAGTTATTATGCCTTCCTTCTTCAAAATTATTGACATTAGGTGTTCACAATATGTGTTATGTTTCAGGTTTTAATGATTTTAATTCTTAATCTAACTATTAAAATGTTGTTTGGTTCTTAGCAAATGCTTAATTGGATGATAGGTTCTTTTATAGATTATTATCAGATTGGTGAAGTTTGGAGAATTTACCTTTTACTTCCCTCACTTCCACCAAACCAGTTTGTTGAATATCCCTGTAGTCTTTATTTTCCTTTCCAATAAACATTCATCAAACTCTCTTTTGCATGTTTCAGATGATCTATTTTGAGGACAATGCTTCTTGAAGGATTTGATTTTTGCTCATTATGCATGCTGTTCATTGAAGACTAAATTATTTTCTGTAGTACAACAAAATAGTTGCATCATAACTTAGACCCTGTCAGTCCACATCCATTTTGACATGCTGATTCTGTAATTAAAATAGAAACGGATTGACGATCTTCTGTTCAACCACCCCATTTAATATGTTCTGGTATATCTCTTGAAAGTAAGGTCATGGATTTGTTTTTCAAATAGTATGCTTTATTTATAAAATTTACCGAGATACATTACAAAGCATTTCAATTAGAAAACTACAGAAATTGCAACAAAATTCAGTTTCATCCATCAGCATATTCCATTCCAAGTTGTCTCAATAAAATTATTAATGTCTTAATATTTACAATATACAATACATGTCAGGCATTGAAACTGAGGGTAAAACATTTCAAAGTGAAAATTACAGAAAGTGGAGAACAAATAAAACTTTTTCCATACACCCTGTTCCACTCTGACGTGGTTCAAAACAAGTTCAATACTCTTGATGTTCACAACGCACATACCTTGTGAAGAGTTCCATAGATTCCTGCCCCTCTGTGTACCATGACTGAAGTGCCTTAGATAACAACGTTTCCCTATTACTCCTCCACGACAGCTGGCCCAATCTTTAGTGCATTCCTTAGCATGTAGTTCTGGACGTTGGAACATGCTGTCTGCAAAACTCATTCGAGGATAATTGTATGCACTGAAAGATAAGCAGGTTTCTGGCAGATGTAAGGCCATCTTTGATCAAGTTGATGACCTTCCAGCTGTAGCTGATGTTTGGTGTGCATAAAGCAAGAAACCTGCATCATGGAGTTGCTCAGAATGAAGCTTAATGAAAATAATTGCATCTATCTCCAGATCTTGTTTGCAATGGCATATTTCGCAAGGAGTTGGAAAATGGTCTCTTCCTTCCACAAGCACCTGGTGGGGCAGTGTGTGGAGGACTTGAGAGATCCGGCATATGGAAAGGATCTGACAGGAAAGTCAAATACAGATATCCTACTGCGCATTTCCCACATCTTTATCCTCCATTACTCTTAATGCTGTATATGACTGTGACAAAACAGATGTTCTAGTGTCTAACCTGAAAAATGTGGATCCACAAGATTTTGACAAGTTGTTTATCTGAAAGTATTGGGAAATGATAGTGTGCCATAATTAAACTAGTCATTTTAGAAATAGGATACTCTTAAGCATTATGCGGACATTCTCCTCCAGCATGTATTGTTCTGATTTGGTACAGTGGTACTTTTGGTACAGTGCCGCAACAAGATTCCACCCATTTGCTTCACAGGTACACCAACAGTGTCACCAACGATACATATATCTCAAATTCCTGATTACCCAGGAAGTTGGATGAGGCCAAGGATGCATATCACCATGAGGTTATTGCTGTGGCAGAGAGTAGGATCACGAAAATGGAGTGCTTACTATGTTCATGAATTATTGCGCTTAATAAGCAATATTAAATTAAACTCAAAGGGCAATGCTTGTGAAAAAATAAGCTAAAACTTGCTTACTTTAGTATGCAATTAATTCAATTTTCATTTCATTTCTTATGAATCATTCTCCCAGCACTGATTCATAATTTCCTTGGGGCCTTTGAGCATTATATGTTAAGCAACTGAGAATGCAGAAAGTTTATGTGCTAACATTATGTTGACTGCTAATTGATCTCCAGGGTGATGCACATAGAGAGTTAATAGATGCAGTAGTTTAAAATATTTGCTGCCTCCTGCTGCAAACTGTTTAGCGCATTGGGGTGACATTCTTGCTTCAAATGTCTATGCATAAATTTTCAATCTTACTATGAAAATTAAATCAGCTCTCCTAAATTACAGATATGCATTTTACTATTAATTAAGTATAATAAGTGTAAGAATTTCATTGCTAGAACTAGCCTACTCACAAAGGAGGGGAAAAAAAATGAATTCTATCATTCTCATATTGGCAGGTCTTCTGACAGGGGTAAAATTTCTTGGGTTGCCTCTCAGCCAACATTTCCATCTTCTCCTAGACTGTCTGCAAATTTACCTGGGGTGCCTCAAAGCCAAGCGCAACCCACCTGCCCTTGCTTCTTGTGGACCTGTAATATCATGTCAAGCTGGTCAATTTGTTATTACACTGCTATTTATTTTCTTCTAGTATACTGAATCAGATTTAAGAGTGAACTAGAAATTAGGAGCAGGAGTGGGCTATTTGACTGTTCAAGCCTTCACCGCCATCTGATGAGATCATGGATGATCAGGTTGTGGTCTCAGCTCCACTTTTCTGTCTGCCTCTTGTAAACTTTGATTCCTTTGTCTATCAAAAATCTTCCCCGTTTCATATTGAATGAATTCAATGACACATTCTCCACTGTTTAATAGGGAAGACAATTGCACCCTCAAATGATCCTCTGAGAGAAAACAATTCTCCTCATCTCCAACTTTAAAGCGAGACTTCTTATTCTTAATCTCTGTCCCTTAATTGTCATCTCTCCTTTAGGGGAAATCATCCACTTAGAATCCACCCCAACAAGTCCCACAGGGTCTAATGTGTTTCAATAAGATCAGTTTGCATCCTTCTAAACTCCAATGGGCAAAGGCCAAAACTGTTCAGCCTTTCTTCATTCCAGAAGTAAGTTAAGGAAACTTTCATTGAGTTGCTTCTAACAGAATTTTATTTTCAAACATGCAGACCAAAATTGCAAATAGCACCCCAGATGTTGCCTCAGCAAGGCTGTGTACAGCTGCGGTAGAACTTCCCTATTCTAAAATTCTATCCCCGAGGCACAAAGTGCCAACATGCCATTTGCCTTCCTAGTCACTTGTCAGCTAAGGATTTGTGACTTGAACACTAACACATCCAGATCTCTCTGTAGCCCCAAGTTCTGCAATTTCTCTCCACTTAAATAGTATACTGTCTTTCTATTCTTCTATTAAGGTCTTTGTGAGGGTGTAAACTACAAATTTCCAGTGAACTGTTGTTCCCCAGTATTCCTCCTTGTCTTCTTCTGTGAGAATGCAGTATGTCATCTTGACCATTTTATCTACCTGCCCTGCTACTTTCAGCAATGTGGATATGCACACCAGTGTCTCGTGTCAATACTTTCCGGGGTCCTACCATTCATTGAATAATCCCTTGCCTGTTTGACCTCTCCAAGTGCATAACCTCATACTTTTCTCAAGTTGAATCTCATTTGACACTGTTCTGCTCATGACACCAGTCTGTTGATAGCATCCTGCAGTTTATGGCTATCCTCCCCATTACTTACCAGCATAACAATTTTTGTGTCATTTACAAACTTCTTGATCGTATCCCTATGTTTCTGTCCATTCCTCAAATAATAAGGACACCAGCACCGAGGCTGAAGAACCCCACTAGAAACAAACATCCACTCACAGGAACAACCAAAGAACAAGGAACAAAGAACAAAGAACAGTACAGCACAGGAACACCCCCCTTCAAACCTGCAATGACACATGACACCTTTCTAAACTAAAAACCTTTTGCCTCCATATCGCCCATATCCCTCTCTTCCTTGTCTATTCATGTATCTGTAAAACTGCCTCTTAAGCTATTGTATATGCTTCTACCATCTCCTCTGGTAGCACATTCCAGGCACTTACTATCCTCTGTGTAAAAAGCACATCTCCTTTAAACTTTCCCCATTTTACCTCAAAACTATACCCCAAAGTAATTGACATTTCTAACCTGGGGAAAAGACTTCAGCCATCCATTCTATCCATGCCTCTCATAACTTTGTAAACTTCTTTCAGGTTGCCCCTTAGCCTCTGACATTCAAGTAAAAACAGCCAAGTTATTTGATAGCTTTCCTTTGTTAATAGCCTCCAAACCAAGCAACATCCTGGTAAACAATTTCTGTATCTGCACCAAAGCCTCCACATCCTTCTGCTATTGTGGTGACCAGAACTATATGCAATATTCCAATTGTGGCATAACTAAAATTTTATATAGTTGTAACATGACTTGCCAATTTTTATACTCTGCCCTGACTGATGAAGGCAAGCCATATGCTTTTTAACCACCTTATCCACTTGTGTTACCACTTTCTGGGAATTATTGACCCATATGCCTCAATCCCTTTATATGTAATGCATCTTAGTGTTCTGCCATTTACTGTATACTTCCCTCCTGCATTAGATCTTCCAAAATGCATCACTCTGCATTTATCCAGATTAAATTCCATTCACCATTTCTCCGCTCAAGTCTCCAGCCTACCTATATCCTGCTGTATTCTCTGGCAATCCTCCTCACCATCTGTCCTCACTGTCGTCCACAAACAAAATTACTAAGCAGACCACCTACATTCTCCTCCAAATCATTGACATATATTACAAACCACAGGTGTCCCGGAAGTGATCCCTGCAGAACTCCACTGGTCACAGATCTCCAGTCAGAAAACACACTTCCACTGCTATTCTCTGTCTATGGTCAAGTCAGGTCTGTATCTATCTTACCAGCTCACTGCAGACCCCATGTGACTTCACCTTCTGTATCAGCCTGCCATCAAGAACCTTATCAAAGGGTTTGCTAATGTCCATGTAGACAACAGCCACCACCCTTCCCTCATCAATCATCTTTGTCTTCAAAACACTCTATCTAATTTATGACACAGGACCTCCGCCACACAAAGTCATGCTGCTTATCACTAATAAGTCCAAATTTTCCAAAATGTGAGTAAATTCTATCCCTAAGAATCTTCACCAATAATTTCCCTCTCACTTATGTAAGGCACACTGGCTTGTAATTTCCTGGATTATCCCTGTTGCTCTTCCAAAATGAAGGAACAACATTGACTATTCTCCAGTCCTGTAGGACCTCTCCTGTAACACTAGACGATAAAAAGATTTCATACAAGGCCGCAACAATTTCCTCCCTCACCTCCCTCAGTATTCTGGTATAGATCCCATCAGGTCCTGGGGACTTGTCAACCTTAATGCTTTTCAAAACAGCTAACACCTCCACCCTAGAATATCAATATACCCCTCTCTAGACTTACCATCCAACATGTTCTTCACATTTGTGAACACTAATGCAAAATATTCACTAAAGACCTCACCCTTTTCCTCTGTCTCCATGCAGAAATGCCCTCTTTTGGCATTGAATGGACTTACACTTTCCCTGGTTACCCTCTTGCTCCTTATATACATATAAAATGCCTTGGGATTTTCCTTATTCCTGTTTGGTAAGAACATTTCATGACCCCTATTAGCCCTCTTAACTCCTTGTTTAAGCTTTTTCCTGCTTTTTTAAAAAGATATTCTTTGAGGGTCTGTCTTCGGATTCCTAATGTATGCCTTCTTTTCTTTTTGACTAAGCTCACAATTTCTCTTGCCATCAAAAGTTCCCGAATCTTGCCACCTTTGTCCTTAACATGTTGGTCTTGAACTATAATCAACGGGCCTTCAAAGATTCCCACAGGCCAACTGTGGATTTACCCCCAAACAGATATTCCGTATTTACATTCCCCATTCCTGCCTAATATTGTTGTAGTTAGTCTTCCTCCAGTTTAGTACTTTCATCTAAGTACTACTTTTATCTTTGTCCTTAAGTAACTTAAAACTTGCAGAATTAAGGTCACTGTTTCTGAAATGCTCCCCACTTGAATTTTAATCACTTGTCAGGCTCACTCCCAATACCAGGTCTAGAATTGCTCCTTCCCTAATTGGGCTATTTACATTTTACTTCAAGAAGCCTTTGTGGACAAACCTAACACATTCCCTTCCATCCAAGCCTTTGGCACTAAATGAGTCCCAATCAAAAGAGGAGAAGTTAAAATCAGAGACTACAATAAACCTTTGTTTTTACATTTTTCCATAATCTGTCCACATATCTGTTCTAACTGATATTTGTTTTTTTTTTCTGATTGTGTTATCTCACTATTCATACACATTCTCTCGTTTGTCACTTAGTACCAAAATGGGCCTTGATTGCTATTGCTGCAGGAGTGGGCCTTGTCATCCTCCTCTGTGTCATCTGCATCTGTGTAAAATGTTGCTGCAAAAAGAAGAAGAAGAAGAAAAAGAAGGAGCAAGTTAATTTGAAAAGTCTAAATGGCTCCACCACTACAAGCCTGGTGAGTACTCTAAAACAACAACTCATTCCATTGGCAGGACAGTACTGTAAGCAATTCCACCATCAATGGAACAATTCCACTGTAGCAATTCATAAATGTTCTTGAAGCAAATATTGAGTGATTTTTCTTTCATACAAAAAAGCGTATCTGCGTGACAAGTCTGTGCTATCATATCATTAACATTAGAGTGCACAGTGGCTCAGTGGTTAGCACTACTACCTTATAGTGCCAGTGACGCAGGTTTGATTCCAGCCTTGGACACTGTCTGTGTGAAGTTTGCACATTCTCCCTGTGTCTGTGTGGGTTTCCTCCTACTGTCCCAAGTGTGCAGCTTTGGTGGATTGGTCATGCTAAATTGTCCAGGAATGTGCAGTTTAAGTGCAGTGTGATAGGGTAGGTGGGTGGGCTGTTCTTTGGAGGATCTATGTGGACTTGATGAGCCAAATGGCCTGTTTCTACACTGTAGGGATTCTATGAACATTAACTTATATTTACCAAGTGCAATTATCATCAAGAAATGAAAAGTTCTTCATGGAGACAAAATGAGACAAAAATGGAGGGACATAAAAGCTATGACAATGAATATTTCAAATTTGAGATATTGGGATTGGTGTCAATGAAACCATGTTCCAGTGTACATCAATGCCTTTAGGTTAGAAAGTGAAGAAGTTTGAAGTAAAGTCTACAGTAACATGCTTCCTTTATACATTCAACAATAGATTAGGAATTTGTTTAAATGTAATCTCAATCTCTCTTGAATTCCATTAACTAGAGGTTATTAAAGTGATGTACAAGGGAACAGGATAACTCTTATTCGCGAACACTTTGCATACACCCATCTGTTGAAAACAACATGACTTATCAGAATACCACTGTGACGTATGGAATTGAGTAATCACAGGGAATGAAAGCTCTCCATTCCTCACCCACCTCCTCCTCACCAGATTTCTTGATAGCACATACAGAGGCCAGCCCCATGTGTCTTAATATCTGACTGTAGGGAATAGGCTATTCAGCATTAATAATAACCTGTCTGAGAGCATTATTCACTTGAAAAATTCATATTGAAATCAATCTATAAGTATACATTTTAATATTTAAACTTTCTCCAAAGATGAAAAACCCTGTGTCTATTTTATCCAAACTTTTAGCACAGCAATGTCTTTAATATTACATGAGTATGTTTCATTTTAATGTGGAATTCTTAAGGTATAAGAACACTGAAGTACTTAAACATCCTAAAGTAAGTTACAGGATCCAGCACTTCTTTATATTTAGCTGTGCAATATGTTGATATATTTTAATGTACTATTCTTCTGAAAGATGGAAAAAAGTGCTACTGAATGGTATTCATCACCACATCAAACACTAGGCAATATTCCTACATCTACATGAATACAGAAATAATAGCGTACAATGACGTCGTTGCTGAATATTGCACAAGGTCATATTCCCATTGTTTTAGACTTTTATTATACTAATATCTGGATTATTTTATCATAGAAAAATTTGAGATGTGAAATATAAATTTGGTTTGCTCAGCTCACTGGGGTTTATCAGCAATAGATATGACAGCTCACCATTAAACCCTAAGGCTGAAACTTCTCATTGAAGCTGTAGCTCTTCCTACCAGCTAAGAAATGATAGTCAAGGCCACTTCTGCTATACTGGGAAGGAATTAATTGTTGCCAGACAGTTATCTGCCTGAGGTAGGGGCTTCTGCCCTATATAAGGGGATGTTCCGCTACCAGGAGTTGTTAGCCAATCAGGTAACAATCGTCCCATGTTGAGGAAGTAGAAAAGCTTTGCTGGGATCAGTCAGGCAGACCCATGCGACATGGGCCTTCCTCCATCACTGATGAAGTACCAGCTGTGGCCCAGAACAAGCCCTAAAGTGCCAAGTGTAACCACGAAAGGGCCGCAAATGGAACAAACATGGGTGGACTGTGTAACACTTATCCCACTGCTGGTAAAATATCTGTGAGAATATTTAGATGACTGCCAGCCTGCTCCTGGGGGAGAGTAGAGGGAAAAAAAAGTTCCATTCCAACTTACACCTTGTCAGCAGTGTTATTACACATTAAAAGGGAGATTTTCACCAGATGCATGATTTCTAAAGATTGTTATTCAGCAGTTCACTCTTTGGAGGAGCAGCAACGTATTTGGATCTTACTACGAATGTGTGAATCCCAAAAATTGCTGACAATGACCTACCCATTTCTTGTTCAAATAAACAGATCCTCGATGTGTTGGTCAGCTTCTTGTATTGTGTTTTACAGGTTCAGCCAGATATGGATGATTTGAATGGAGCTGAGGAAAACCGTGGAAAGTTGCAATATTTCTTAGATTATGATTTTAAGAAAGAAGAGGTAAATAGAAAGTTTTATCTAAATCCATCTAAATCAATAGCTGTAAAGCTATAAATATTATTGCGCATCTGAGGTAGAAGAGTAGGAAGAAATTGAATTAAGATTTATGCTCTTGAACAGCATTCAATTCCCTCTAATTGAGAGATATTGTGCAAAAATTAGAAATAGGCAAGATCATGAACAGCACTAGTACTTCCCATGGTGAATCATGCTACTGCACAGTTACTGGTATGGTTTGTACATATAAAATTGCCACTTAGTTGAGGAAGTTAAGAGTGTTTGAAATTTAACCACAGCAACTCAGGACAGAAAGACTGAAACGTTTGAGAGAAAAATTCCAATGAGTGCAAATTACATGAAAATTCCAACAGCTTTCTCATGGTAACTGGAGGATATGCTGAAATTCCTCTAATTTTAGGTGTGATCGTTAGGGCTAGGTCTGTCTCTAATTATTTTTGCTGTCAATGAGTTTGATTTTTGTGCCTCCTAGATAGATTGACAAGATACGACCAGCAGTCCAAATTCCCTTTGGCTATTCCATTATTTGTATGTATGCTTTGGGCATGGAACACTTATGTTGTAGTCCAGGAAATCACCCAATTATATTCCATGCATTTATGATATCTTGCAGATTACAGTTGGAATTATACAGGCAATGGACTTAATGGCCATGGATCTTGGAGGAACATCTGATCCTTATGTTACTGTGTATCTTCTCCCAGAAAAGACGCATAAATTTGAAACTAAAGTCTACAGGCGATCCTTAAATCCTACCTTCAAAGAACGCTTCACTTTCAAGGTATCGTAACTACTTAACTAATTGTCAGATTGATGTATTTTTCACTGAAATAGGCTGGATAAGCTAAAATCAGAAATAAGGACTCACATTTTGCTTGACAAGAAATTCAGTCTGCTTACGACAACTGCAGTTAAGCTATTTATGTAAGAAAACATTTTGACAAAGTAAGCAAATCAATTACTAGACCTCCTCTAAAGTGAAGCTCATCTTCTAATCAGCCAGGATTAAACTTAGCTTCTATTCACTGCAGCACAACATAGTGGTAATTAATACCATCTTTAACACATTATTTTTCATATTAAAGAATAGTATTAAAAATGATATTATATATCACCATGGTATGTTGGATTCAATAGAAGGTAAGTTTATTATCTTGCTTATGCATCATGCAGAGGCAAGATAGGCAGGTTGAATAAATTTCTGTCGTGACAGAAAAGTAGTAAGGCAGTGTATGGAATTGTGACTTTTTTTTACATATTTTGATTTTAAACATTGCTTGAATTGAGAGCATCCATGTGAAGGACTTAAAATTCTGGTGTGGCAAGGTGAAGAAATAGAAAGATTGGCAGCTCATCTGTGAAGAGGAAATGAAAACTGGGCACCCTCGCTTACAGATGGCTGATCTGCAACATTTGTTTTAAACCTGTGCAATGAATTTAAAATTGATCACACGGTGTTTCTTTTCAAATGTCAGTTTTGACAAGTTTTTCTGACTACAATAAAATTTCAAATGATCAGATTTGATAGTACATAGAAAAAGAACAAAAAGAACTGCAGATGCTGGAAATCAGAAACAAAAACAGAAATTGCTGGAATAACTCAGCAGGTCTGGCAGCGTCTGTGGAGAGAAATCAGGGTTAACATTTCAGATCCAGTGACACTTCTTCAAAATTGATGGTAGCTAGGAAATTATTGATATTTATGGAGATCATGGAGATAGAACCCACACAGAAGAAAAAAAAACAGTTGGATGAACAAAGGAGTGGTTAAAGGTCAGCCTGGGAGAGTGAATGGGGACCATTAGTAGCTGCCAGTGGGTAGTGTGTGGCAGTGTTCCAGGTGATGACAAAGCCTGATGTGTGAGGAGTGGGGTAGGACATGGCCTCAAGCCCGAAAATTGTTGAACTTGATATTAAGTCCAGAAGTTTGCAGAATTCCCAAGCAGAAAATGACTTGTTGCTCATCCAGCTTGTGCTGAGTTTCACTAGAGCACTGTAGGAAGCCTGAGACAGAGGTGTTGGCCAGGGAACGGGATGGTGTATTGAAGTGGCACGCAACTGGAAGCTCAGCGTCTTTTTTTGCAGACAGAACATAGGTATTCCGCAAAACGGCCACGCAGTCTGCATTTTGTTTCCCCAATGTAGAGGAGAGCACATTGTGAGCAGCGAATGCAGTAGACTGGATTGAGGGACATGCAGGTAAAGCGCTGCTTCACCTGGAAAGTGTATTTGGGCCCTTGAATACTGAGGAGGGAGGAAGTAAATGGGCAGGTGTCACACGTTCTGCAGTTGCAGGGGAAGGTGCCTTGAGGCTGTGGGGTGGGTGTTGGGAAGGAAGAGCAGGCCAGGGTGTGCTGGAGGGAATGATCCCTGCAGAAGGCTGACAATGGAGGGGACGGGAATATGTGTCTGCTGGCATCCCACTGGAGGTGCTGGAATAGAGGAAGAGTTGTGGTTGGGATACGGAGTAGGACTGGAATAAGGAATGTTTCACGTAACCCACAAAGAGACAGGCATAACTGGAGCCCATGCAGATACCCATGGCTACCCCTCTGACCTGAAAACTTGAAATTAGATATCCGTTCTATCACATCTGTAGCCAATGGATGGATGATTCTGCTCAACTTTTCTCAGGAGTCCAGCAGGCAAAAATGGGTTCAAGCCATCATTGAGTAAAGATGCCATGTTAATTGGCCTGATCATTGATCTGGCTAGGGAACACAGGCTTGTAAATTTCCAAGCATTAGTTCCAGCAATCAACTGCCATTAGTCTTTGCCCACATTTTGGAGATTGGGTCATTTGAACTGATAGGGGTGCTCAAGGAGTATGAAGGTTACAGTAGCAGCAGACCCCAAGGCCATGTCGCTCAGATGGGATAAAGATTTCCTTTTAAAGGCATTCTCAAATATCAGAGTTGGATAACCTTACTCCAATGAAGGTTTGGAGTCATCAGAAGGCATCAGTGGGGTTTGATGCCAGCTTTTAACAGCCTTAGCTTTTGCTCAGGCCTCTCAAGAATATGAAGGGTGGAAATTCCAAGGGATCTTCAGAAATTCTCCAGAATGTAACCCCTTAATTTTGGAGAAACCGTGGGAGATCCATCCACTGCGTTCAACTGGAATTTAAAGGTACAAATCAAATAGAGTGGATACCTGATTCAGCCCATATTTTGATTTACATACATGCCAAATACTGTCTTTGTTAGAAAATTATAAGTAATTTCATTTGGAGCTAATGAGCATTAAGGTTGGGGAGAACTTTCCCTTTGCAAGCGTCACTTTCTTATGGCTCTCAGTGTATCACAGACTCTGTGCTTCTTTGCTTCTTAGGAGTCTAGGAAGGTGAATGTTTGTACTCTGGACATTTCCCAGGTTCCCATAGATGAGCTGCCAAACAAATATGTTGCCATCTTACTTAGAGTCAGCTTCAGTCAGACAATCACAAGCTAAGTGTGCACAAGAACAATCATCTGAAAGTAGGAGTAGGTATGATTGATTGCATTGGAATTCCCATTATCTAGCAATTTTTAAAATTTACTTGAATTCCTCCTTTTTAACCTCATAGGCTAGCCAGGCTGAAATAGCTGACAAGACTGTGGTGATGCAGGTATATGACTTCAACAGATTTTCTAAGCATGATGTAATTGGCGAAGTGAGAATCCCACTTAACACTGTTAATCTGAACCACGTTGTTGAAGAGTGGCGGGATCTAACCTGTGCAATAAAGGATGAGGTAAGATTTCATCAAAAGCTATTGGAGTTCAACAGTGTCTATTGTTATGCAAATTTTCTTAACCTGTTGGTTGGATCTCATGATGATATGTATCCCAGATGTGACATGCACAGATCTCCTTTTGTGTCTTGACAAGGTTTTCCTGATATCCTGCTCCTCAATTAACACCTCTGAAACAGATCTTCTGGCCAATATCACTTAGTTATTTGTGAGGCCTCTCCTTATACAAATTGGGTGCTGTATTTCAACAGTGACGATACTTAAAAGCAATTTAGGGTGTCCTGAGCTTGTGAAACATGCAAAATAGATACAAATTAAAATCAAAGTCTAAAGTATTGATATGAACAGTGAAGAAAAGTTCTTCAAGAAGAGAATATGAGAGGACACTACTCCCCATTTCTGAGTACTGAAAAACTGCACTTAACTCTGAGTTTGTTTTCTCCCTCACTGCCAATTTTCAGAGTTTACTTTGTCCTTAATTCCATTGCTCTTTGTCTTTTTTTTGTAATCTTCCAAATGCATTGCATTTCTTGCCTGGCATCTACTGTGTCTTCATAACAAAAAAATTCTGATGTTTCTTAAGCATGACTATCACTCCATAATTCACACAAATTACTTTTAACCATATTTCCTTTTTGTAGAGACACGGTAATTTCATTTTTAAAGCTGTTATTATTGTGTCTACCACAGATATTAAATTGACAAACTTGTCAATTTAAAGATTAAACTTGTCTTCCTTCTTAAAGTAAGCACTACTAAACCACTCACCAGTCTTCCAACAGAAGTTGACACTAAATAAAGCTTTGAAATAAAGGGGAAAGATTAAATGTTGGCTCACCTGGACTGGGGGTTATGAGTGCACTGGAAGCATGGAAGTCCAGTTTACTCTCAAGCTGCAGAGTCTTTCATCCACAAATCTCCTGCAACATCACCAATGGCCTCCCTGCTTGAATGTCAGCCTGATTGACAGATCTGGTTTTCATTCCGGAGGGCTTGGTGGATGCTAGAGAAGAAGTTACAGCATCAGTTTAAGTCCAAACCCAAAAAGTCGGGGTAGTGGTTCTAATGGGGTGGGTTTCTGATCGCTGGGCTGGGGGCATGGTGAGTAATCAGAGGCCTGAGGGAACCAGACTTTGGAGCTGCGGGATTTGAGATCGGAAATCTGTGAAATCAGAGGCTGGTTGGTGAGCGGACTTTAAGGGACAGATTGGATGGCCTTGGAATGAAGTTGGAGGCCTCAGGTGGGGCAGAGGCTCTGTGAAGGAAGTCAAAGGGAGGTCATGTAGAGTTTACCAGACATTTGATCTAACAGATAAAATTCTTTCCTCCTGTGTCTAGCAGAACTTGCTTGCCTTTAGCTGCCAGTATCCTGGAACATTATTCCACAACCATAAAAAGCAGCACAGCATTAGGAGCAGCTGGGGGAAACCGGGATTGTTGAGGACCTAAAATAAAACCACTCAAATGCTACAAATTTGAAGAAGTTATTGACAGGATCGTAAATGAGAATGACAGATTTACATCAAGTTAAAATCCTTAATTGGTTATGATTTATTTTCTGCTTAAGAAAGAAGGACGATATCCTTAAGAAGAAGTTACACATCTTAAACAATGCAAATGTTTACAACGACAAGACATGACATTTTATGTCAAATTATAATTACCAAAATGTTTTGGCTGCTAAGCTCTATTAGTAACAATGATTCCTGTATTTTCTTTCCCTGCTATGCTTTGTTTGAATATTGATGACTTTATTTTGTTTGGTTTCTTTATTAGCAAGTGAAACTTGGTGATATCTGCTTCTCACTCCGTTATGTTCCCACTTCAAACAAGTTGACGGTTGTAATTTTAGAAGCCAAGAACCTGAGGATAATGGATAAAGATGGTTTATCTGGTGAGAGTTCCTACTGAACACTTGTGGCTGCAACTTTCACTGACGTTACCTCTAACAAAACATTTGTTTTGAACAATCTGCCAGCCTGCATGCTTTCTGTTTCCACGCTGATTGTAAATACCTGCTTGTGGAATGTCATTCAAGCATCAGTCTTTAGAAGTAAAATTGGGATAGGCCAAATGCAAGTCCACAATATTTTGCTTGTAGATTCTGGTGTTGAAATTGGTCTTGGGTGGTAGCTTAAGTAAGGTGATAGTGAGTTGCTAACCTGGCCTATCAGAAACTTTTGTAGAGAGAGGGGCAAAAAGAGGGCAGAAGAGAAAAAGGAAGTGCAGAAATAGGTCATTGGAGAGATCAGGAGAAGAAAATGCTGATCTGTGGAGGAGGAGTGGAAGACTAAAGAGTGGGAGGGGAGAAAAGCAGGACAGAAAGAAAGCAGGGAAGAGAGAAACAATGGACAGAGGAAGAAAAGAGGAATCAGAGAGAGAGATAGGGAGAAAGGGAGACAGAGAGAGAGAGAGAGAGGAGGAAGAGTTGGAGAAATAGGGGAGAAAGATTACGGGTGTTCTATCTTTTTCTACAAATTGCTCCTAGATAATTTTCATTCTGTTTGTAATGCATTCACAAATAATTGCCACTGTCTGTAATGCTTGCCCTGATCTTTGTTGTCTTGTCTCTAATGTTTTGATAGATTACTGCAACTTTGTCCATTTACCTGCTTCCCTCTCTAACACATTCTAGCAGTCTATCATTCTGCACCTAATGTACTTACAACACTTATTGAAAACTAAACCCCAGTGGTATAATTCTGGATGTAACACACCAAAGCTGTTATCTTCTTGTATTATATTCCAAGATCAATTGCACTCAGAGTTCCCTATATTTAGCATAGTGTCTAGGAGAGACACCAATCATTACCCACAAAATGAAGGTAATTTTTACTTCAGATGATAGTGTAACTCACATGAATATCAGTTTGACCACTTGCTACACATCTCCTCTATTTTCTATTTCCATTGAAGTTAAAGGAAAGGAAAATTGGCAGAGGAACTTTAGAGGAATGGCTGAGCTGATGTTACTCCAGATGATATGAAAAATAGAACAATGATCGCATATCACTCCAAAGTGAATAATGCAAGTCTTGTACCTGTCAAGAAACAGAGTCAAACGCATTCACTGTACCTCTCTCATACACTAATTTCTCACATGAAGGATTTGAGATTAATTTTCAAACAAGCATCTTCAAAATAAATGTTACTTCATACTGTTGACAGACAAAGGCTGAATACAGAACCAAGTTTTCACCAGTTCACCAGTATTTGGAGGTATTCTTTATCTTTTTTATAGACCCCTATGTGAAGATACGTCTGATGCTGAATAAGAAAAAGTTTAAGAAGAAGAAGACAACAGTAAAAAAGAACACCTTGAATCCATATTTCAATGAGTCCTTTACCTTCGATGTGACTTTTGAAGAAATACAGGTGAGAGGAATATGTGGAATAATTAAATGTACTTTGCAATAGGTTACATTCTCTCTTGCATGAAAATGATTTGAACAGCTTCGACTTAAAGGCAAAAAGATCACCACATAAAATGTGCAATTATAGAATACGGGACTATTGCACCAAATAAATATTCTAACTGGAAGAGGCAAGTTGAAATGTAAATTTCCAAATCTGTGCCCCATTATAATGATCTCAAGTGAGGGGACAGTTGGAACTGTTTGCTTCAGTCGTCCTGATCTAGGGAGTAGGGACAAAACACAACCTGGATACCTGCTACTGATTGCTATTCAAAGTTCTGACTGGAAAGTTTCTGTATCATAATACCGAGCGAATTCCATTCTAATGTCTTCCCACAACCTGCTCACACTCACTATCAAAGAATATTCACTTCAGTCCTGGGGAAGGAAGAAGGCAGTTGCAAAGATGTGCCTCAGATAGGCAGTGCTTCTAATTTAGGGGAACATATTAAATGCTGTCATAAGTTAACTATTATTTTTCACCTCTGGATCTTCACTTTCATCCCAGATCACACTAAGTCCCAGTAATATCTTCTTTGTGTTGTATCTTAGTGAAGTATGTGGAATAACTTTGAGTGTCTGAATGCAGGTCCAATAGCACACAGTACAATAAACTCAAAGTACTTTGCAATCTTACCCAATCGCACATGATGGCTAGTTTTGAAAATATTGTTTTGCAATGATTCTGGTGAAAGCTGAGCGGGTGTAGATGCTAGGATGAGGTCTCAAGTATTTCGCTTTGCACTGTAGAAATGTTAAGACTGCTACTGCAGTGCAGTTGCTGCAAATGAGACTTTTTTCAATATTCTAACTGGGGCACATTATAGAGGCAGAGCAGAAAATGATATATTGTGGCTTATCTCATTGCGTTAATATTAGTTGCAAGAAAGTCTCCATTTCACACCATTAACATCTTGATTAACATGAAATCCATGAAGAAATGCAAAAATGTAAGATGAGAAATAAATTTCAAATGTCTCTAGCATTCTCTGTTTTTGTTTCCTCTTTCATCAACAGAAAGTGCAGTTAGTGATCTCTGTGTGGGACCATGACAAGCTGTCAAAGAACGATGCCATTGGAAAATTATTCCTTGGTTGTGATGCTACAGGAAATCAGCTGCGCCACTGGTCTGATATGCTGGCCAACCCAAGACGACCAATAGCGCAATGGCACACTCTCCAAGCCAGGGAGGAAGTGGACAAAGCACTCAAAGAACTTGGGGTGAAATCTCGTTTCCAAATCTTCTAGAGTTTTGACTACATTGAAACCAAAACAATTTCTACCCTGTCATAAATTATAAACCTGGCTGTTTCAGATAAACCTGTTCACCTTTGCTGAGAAACATTCCTGTTCAAGCTATGTTCTAAGAATTGAACCAAAGTGGAAAAGGTGAAATGTATTACATTACGATCTCAAACTAACTGAATACACAACGGAAAATGCAATACAAACACATTATATTTACAACTTTATAATCCTTATTATACTTGTAAAGCTGATTCCATTACTGGATGCAGTGCATTCAGAAATCCTGAATATTTGGCATATTTTCACTGTCCTGGAATATGCAACTAAATTGAACTAAATAGAAGTCAGTGGATTGTTTGGTATGCACACTTTAATTGAAGAACTTTATATATTAAGGTTAATTTATATTTATCCTTTCATTCCTTAGATCAAATTACTGCTTCAATGGACCATTATTTCCATGGTTTCAGCTTGATAGTACATAAAATAATGATATTAGCAGGTCTCCCTCACAGAAGTATACTAAAAGGATCCAATTTGAATTTGGTCTTTTATACAGGTGAACCAGCTGGTCTCCTGCAGGACAGCAATTGGAACAGTGTTAGGGAGGGTGTAAAAAATTATCCAGAGCTTTGGTTTTGGTCATTATCCACGGACCCTTGCTGGAAAATGCATAGATGGATGTCAAGAGTATAATTAGGATCTGCCTTAATGTACTTCACACGTGATAATTTCTAAGGGCTTCTTAAACACTGATTAGTTAATTAACCAAGGTATTGAAAGCTTTACGCGTCGTTGAAAATGATAATAAATTGATGGAGACTCCAAAACTCTATGGGATGTTGCAGAAGTCTCTTGTCATCAGGAGATCAACAAAGCCCATGATGAAAAGCCAGAACCTAGTTCCATGGGTTCGTAACAATTTTTGAAGATTTTTAATCTACCTCTACATGCCCTTAACATGGTAAATGTTGTGCACAGGTTTTGGGGTGAGAATGGGGCAGGTGTGAAGGCTGAGAATGGAATTGGGTGCTGGGACTTCCTCTGCCTAGCAGAGTGACTGGTTCAATCAGTCTGTGGCAGATCTCTGTACCTGAGAGAAGTGAGTGTGAACTGGAATGTCAACTTCCAGGTGGCCAAAGAAAAGCAGCCTGGATATCAAATAGAAGAACAGAATTTTGAAAATAATTGATTTAACTTACAATTCTTTATTTTCCACATGTAAATGTAAGTGATTACTTTTTACATAATCTAACCACGTAGCAAACCAACGTTTCCTTTAGTTTACATGTTCTCTTTTAACTGCGCAATTCTTTACTCATTTTATTCAATGCTGGTTAATACTTTCTTCTGAAATATTGAATAAGCTATTTAACATGGACTTCTGCTTTGCTGCATTATCATGTATCCTGAACTAAAGACTCATCATATTGCCTCCTATTTTAACTCATTTACCTCTTCCCTTCACCTCATTAAGTTTCCCATGACGTACAAGTCTTTTTAAAGCCCAGCCTTATTTTCAGATAAAAACCATCCTCTTATTAGTGGCAATGTCTTGCACATTTGCCTTGACTTTAGACCTAACATTTTTCAATAATAATTTAAATTAAATGGTGAAAAATTGTCCTTTCCTATGATGGACTATTTCCTGTAAATGGGAGCTGAATTCCTTTGATGAAGTGAGTGTGATTTCCCTTGTTATTAAGACTGTATTTGATTGAGTGGCATACCAAGGAGTCCTGGTGAAACTAGACTCAATAGAAATTGGGGGAACACTCTCCGCTGGTTGGAGTCATACCCAGCACATAGGAAGATGGTTGTGGTTGTTGGAGGTCAGTCATCTCAGCTCCAGGACATTACTGCAGGGGATCCTCAGGTTAGAGTTCTACATTCAACCATGTTCTGCTGCTTCATCAATTAACCTTCTTTCCATCATAAGGTCAGAAATGGGCAAGCTCTTTGATGATTTCACAATATTCAGCATGATTCACACCTCCTCGGTACCAAAGCTAACCATGTTCAAATGCAACGAGACCTGGACAATGTCCAGCTTTGTGCTGATGAGTAGCAAGTTCTATCCATGCTACACAAATATTAGACAATGAACATCTACAAGGAAAGAGAGTATAGCCATCACTCCTTGACATTAGAAAGCATCAACCACCGCTGAATGGCCGAAGTGATGGGTGTCTACTATTAACAGCCTTAGGGTTACTGTTAATGAGAAATTAAATTGGACTAAATATATAAATACTGTGGCTAAGTATCCTACAGCAAGTAACTTGCCTCTTCCATCAACAAATTACAAGTCAGGAGTGTGATGGAATAGTCTCCACTTTCCTGGTTGAATGCAACTCCAACAACACTCAAAAAGCTTGATGCCATCCAAGACAAAACAACCCACTTGATCAGAACTACAGCTATAAATGTTTACTTATTCCACCACTGCACTCAGTAGCAGCAATGTGTACCACGCACTGCAGAAATTCACCAAGGCTTCTTGGATAGCACCTTCCAAATTCATGATTACTACCATCTAGAATGACAAGGATGGCTGATACATGGGAACACCAACATCTGTAAGTTCCTCTCCAAGCCCCTCACCTGACTTGAAACATTTCGCTATTCCTTTATTGTGAACATGACTCACACATGAAAGACTTATAATAGTTTTAAAAAAAAATTCCAACAGAGGCACCATTCTAAAATAAAGTGATTAGTGCATAAGTTAAATACTGACCAGAAGGTTCTCATGTTGAGTATAGCTTAAGTATCTAGGACCAAGGAAGGCAAATATGAAGTAGGGGTTCTTTTCGCATTGATACTGGTGTAATAAATGGGCACATTAAATGTAGTGTTGTATGAACATGGAGTGAAAGATATGCTAGAATACAAGGAAAAAAAAATATCAGTTGCCTTGTTGACCCTGTATCACCATTTGGCTTTTATCGACTTAACCTCAATTCCTTTCATTTCCTCCCATATATAATTAACCCTATTTTAACAGACACAGTTGATGATTTGCCTGTGGCCCTCAAGGGGCAGTTTACTGCATAAACTATTAATTATTTAAGTCAAAAACATTTTTTCTGGATTTGTTTTTGATTAATTTCATTCGAAACTAACATATGTTTGACTTGGTACTTATGAAATAACCAGGAAATATGGACTTTATAATAGTGAAAATATCTGATCAACTGAGTATATGGGAATGAAGGACCACACCCGAAGCCAGGATGATATTGGTAGTTATGAATCAGAAGTGTTGTGTATACATACCTGCTATGTTATAAATAAAGCTATTTAAATATTTTTGTTTTCCTCATGTACTGCTTGTTTTATAAATGCACAAACAGTTAAGAGTACAATTTTGAAGAAGAGCAGGGAAGTTATCCATGAAATTTTCACAAATACTAATCGCTCAATCAACAGGATGCAACTTCTCTGCTTTTCAAGGGGACAAGCTAGCATACTTACCTTTCAAATTACAACAGTCACAACACTACAAAAAAACTCATTGAACGTAACATATTTTGGGACGTCTGGTGGTCATAAATTATGCAATATAAATGCAAACCTTTCTTCCTAAACATTTCCAGTTATCTGCTTTGTATTTTTAAATGATAATTTCATAGATATGCATTTTAAGATAAATAATCAATGGCTACCATGGTACTGCATCGAGTGCATGACAAGTTGTACACTTAAACAACATATTCTAATTTGTACATATGTAGTGCCTCTAACATTCTTAAATAATCCCAGAGTTTTCATATTCCAGTAAATTACTGTAATTCCAATTAAATAACTGACCAGTAATCTGTTGATGGTGGTATTGATGAAGGATAAACAAGGGTAAGGAACAGGGAGAACTGACTTGTAGTAGGACCGTGAGATATTTAGAATACACCTTTAGAGATAGGCAGAGCCTCAGTTGAACGTGTATCAGGTATTAACCATTTAGATCATTTGACCAGCTATTTTTGTTTTAAGCAAGACCACTTGAAAGCCTTTGATTGAATAAAATGTTGGTATTTTAGAATATATGCTGACTGCATCATTCCATATATTTTACATTAGGTGCACTATTCTACATAACAAATATTGTGTATACCAGTAATCACATTATGCACTGGACTTTCTCTTCAACTATAATGTAATCAAAGAAGAAGCTAAAATTACACTTGTTTGAAATAAAATCTGAAAATATTGGGTATATATTAAGAAAGGACAAAGTTCAAGCAGGGGTAACATTTCTATCTTGGAAGAAGGCAAACTTTATAAAGCTGAGTCATGATCTGGAAAAAATTGACTTGTTACAGCTACTTGAAAGAAAGTGGTAACAAATCAGTTGAAGGCATTCGAAAGTGAGGTTCTGTGGGCATAGTGTAGATAAGTAGCACGAAAAGAAAAGGTAGCACGACCAAATCAAGAGGTCCTGGCTTTCCAGAAGGATACAGGTAAAATACAATAGCTAAAATAAGAAAATAGAATTTATGACAATCTCAAAACTTTAAGAAGCTTAGAAGAACATAGATAGTACAGGGGTGAAGTTAAATGGAATTTAGGAGAGCAAAGAGAGCATATGAATAGATGTTGACTAGTAAAATGAAGGAAGATCCATAGAAGTCATAAACATATATTAAAAGCAACAGAATGACTAAAGAAAGGGTTGTGTTTGTCAGAAAATAACAGGGAACTTTGCCATAAATGCAAAACACATGAAAAGGTTCCTAGCTGTGTATTTTATCTCCACAAAGGAGAACGATGGTGCAGGCATTCTAGTTAGACAGCATGAGTGTGACATAGTACATAAAATAAGCAAAATGAGAGTGGAATATTGGCGTTCTTGAAGATGAATAAAGTGTATCATCAATTGTTCAAGGAAGCCAGATTGGAAAAGCAAATGCTGTGAGGCTCATTTTCCAATCCTGACTGGATTAAGGCATTGTACGAGGATTGAAGGTTTGCCAATATTCAAAAAAACGTGTGCGGAATTGGCCAAATAGGTAATAGATCAGTCAGTCTGAGCTCAGTGATGGGAACCTCACTGGAATCAGTATTGAGAGATAGGATTAACTGCTACTTGGAGACGCATAGTTTTATTAGGTGCTGTTTGCTTAATGCTGTCAAGGTAAGGTCATTTCTTCCTATCTGATTTGATTTTTTGAAGAAATATTAAAGAGGATTCATGAGGGTAATGCAGTGGATGATATTTATATGAACTTTAGCAAGGCATTTGACAAGGTCCCACATGGCACACTGTTAAGAAACATAAAAGCCTATAGGATTCAGGGGAATGTGGTGAGTTGGATCCAAAATTGGCTCGATGACTTGGAACAAGGGGGTGCTTTTGTGAATGATTGCTGTTTGCTGATAATTGTACAATGTTTAGCGCCATCTGTGACTCCTCAGATATTAAAGTGGTTCATGTCCAAATGCAGCAAGGTCTGGCTTGGGGTCATAAGTGTCAAACAACATCTGTAGCACACAACTGCTAGGAAATGACAATCTCCAACAAGAAAAATTCTAAACATGACCTTTTGACATTGAATGGCATTAACATCACTGAACCACCCACTATTAGCATCCTAGGGTTTAACATTGACCAGAAACTCAACTCGACTAATCATATATATAGTACAGCTATAAAAGCAGGCCAGAAGCTAGAATTTTGCAATGAGTAACTCACTTCCTGACTCTCCCAATCCTGTCTACCAATTACAAGTCACAAGTTAGGACTGTGACAGCACAATCCCCATTTGTCTGTCTGACTGTACCTCCAACCACTTTCAAGAAGTTTGACACCATCCAAAACAAAGAGACTGTTTGGTCAGCACTATAAACCTTTATTCCCTCCATCACCGACACTCAGCAGCAGCAGCGTGTGCTATCTACAAGATATACAACAGAAATTCAGCAAGACTTCTAAGACAGTAACTTATGACCAATACCATCTGGAAGGACAGGGGCAGCAGATACATGGGAACACCATTACCTGTAAGTTCCCTCCAAGTCATTTACTATTCTCACTTGGAAATATATCACTGTTCCTTCACTGAGTCAAAATCCGGGAACTCTCTCCCTGATGGCATTTTGGGTGTACCTGCATCAAATGGACTACGACCATTCAGGAAGGCAGCTCACCACCATCTTCTCAAAGGCAAATAGGGATGAGCGATAAATGCTGACCTAGAAAAAAAATTGCATGAGACAGAAAATTGGCCAGTAGTTGATAGTGAAGAGGATAGTCGTCAACTGCAGGAAGATATCAGTTGATACCTCGGAGTGCATATCCACATTCACTGAAGGTTGCAGGATAGATAGATAAGATTTTGAATAAGACGTATGGATAGCTTTCCTTCATTGGGCAAGAGTTGGGAACTAATGCTGTAATTACATAAGGGTCAGTTTCAGCTAAGCTGGAGTTCAGTATACAGTTCTGATCACTAAAATTTCAGGAAAGGCATAATTTTTCTTGAGAGAGAATACAGGGGGCTTTTACAAGAACATTGCCAGTGTTTGAAAATTGCAGCTATATGAGAGATTCGATAGACTAGGGTTATTGTGTTTAGATCATAGAAAGCCAAAGTGTGACTTAATTGCAGTGTACAAAATGATGATGGGTTTGGATACAGTGGACAGAGAAGACTTGTTTGCCTTCATGGAGAGGTCAAATATCAGGGGGATGCATATTTAAGGTGAATGGCAGAATGAGGGCGCAAGGAATCACCAGAAGGTTGTGGGTGTCTGGAATTCACTGCCCAGTTTGGTGGTTGAGGTGGAAGCCCTAAACTCATTTAAAAGGACACCTGGATCTGAACCTGAAGTGCTGTAACCTGCAAAGCTATGGCCCAAACGTTGGTAAGTGGGCAGCTAGTTTATTCAGATAGTACAGACATGATGGTCTGAATGGTATCTCTCTGAGCTTCAGCTTTCCTATGGTTCCTTTGATTTGTCTGAACCACAGCACCCATCAAGCTAGATATAGTCTGTGTCAGTCATGAGCCAGGTTTCCCTGAAAGGAGTTAATTAAGCATTAATGGTATGTCTGGCTACTACATAATACTAACCAGAAAAACAAAAACAGAATACTCTTTAGATACAATCAAACAATGATATAAAAAAAATTTTGTTCATATAGGATATCGAGGGTTGGCCAGCAATGGTTGACCAGAACCTCTGGAAGAGTCCTTAGGAAGAATCAATGCTTTCCTTAGTAAAAGTCAGAAAATTAAGGGGAAAAATACTTTGCAATTTTTGAAACAATGTAAAAAATGAAACAATCAGTACAACTTTCAGGAGCCAGCAGAAAGTTTCTCTGCATTTGTTTCATTGTGGGAACTGGCCTATTTCTTTCTATCAGGATTTCCCTGTCTGATGAACCTTTTGTTTTACATCTTTATGATGCACTGCAGACAAAAATAGCAATGTAGTTTTAATGTCATTTCATTCCTTAGGTGAAAGCTAGAAGGTCTATGAAATGAGGTACTGCATGACTCATTTCCCAAATATGTTCCAAACACCTACTGCAAGATCATTAAATGCAACCTCCATACAAGCCAGTACAAGAGTGACGCACTTTCGCTATTACTATTTAATAAGTATGGTGGAATACTATCATTAAATCAGGCCAATCACTGTCATTGTGAAGTTCCTTTGCCTTAACAAAAGCCTTCATTTGAATCTATTTGTTATCCACTTCTTCCAAGATTCATTATAAAGTTTGGATATTCTACACATTTCTGGAAAAGACAGCAACATGAATTTTGAAAAGGAGAATTTTGACCTTGGGGTATAGGAAAGGAAGGGAAGGTTTTCTGGATGGACAAATGTGAGAACTTCAGCCAAGGCAGCCCAAAATGATTGAGACCCTTCCCATTGTAAGAAAGAGATGATCAAATAACAAAGTAACACCAGCAACTCCAGATTCTTTCAGGTCAGAATCAGTCTTCAGTCTGGAGGCCATGATGGGCTACACTTCCAACACGACATTGAGCTTGGGCACTAGGATCTTTCCAGCTTTCTGATCCATAGGCCACCGTCAGCAAGGATAGGTAACTGCACCTCCACCACAATAACATTCAACACTGGAGCCCCCCCAGGATGGGTCCTCAGCCCCCTACTGTACTCCCTGTACACAGACGACAATGTAGCCAAATTCCAAAAGAACGCTGTCTACAAGTTTGCTGATGACACCACTGTGGTAGGATGGATATCAAAAAACAATGAGCCAGAACACAGGAAGGAGATGGACGTCTTGGTGATGGGGTGCAATGATAACAAACTCTCTCTCAATGACGGCAAAACTA